TGATTGTGTCTTCAGCTTGCCCTATCCAAGACCTTCCTCTTTTCAGCCTGTGACCCTTAGATCTAACTAGGGCTTCATGCAGGAATTGCTTCTTGTCTGCAGCTACTCTCAGATATGACTTTGCTTGCAGAACATTGAGCCTGTCTGCAACAGTAGGCAGTGCAAGTATATAACGCATACATACCACCGGGGCATCTCTTGTATGTCCCAGAATTATCCACATATCTTCATTCTGTATGCGTTCGGGTTTTATCAGCTGACTCTTTGATATGGTAAACATGCCAAGTCCATAATCTATCACCGACAGGATCATATGCTGGAACATTGTGAACAACATTCTTTGTTCCATGTCCATTGCTGCCATAAGCTTGAGAGAATTGAGTCTTTTTTGGCGTTTCACCACAACGTTCTCCACATGATCTCTATAGGACAGCCTTCTATCGAAAGTAATACCCAGGCACCTCGATTTGCGTTCTCTTTTGATGTTACTGTTATTTATTCTGAGGCTTAGAACATTAACTGTCACAATACTTTTTTCCAGAAAGCACCACAAAACAGCCGCTTTTTTTTTTTGAGTTGATGACAGCACCCATTTTTGCACACCAGTCAGTCACTGTGTCCACAGTTGCCTGCAGCTCCTGTGCTATCCATTGTACATCCCTCCCCTGTCTATATGCAAGAATATCATCTGCGAATATCAATATTCCTCCAACACCTGGTGATTCAAGTTCTGCAATCTTGTTTGTATACACATTACAGAGCACTGGTGAAATTACAGAACCCTGGGGTAGTCCCGGAGCTATATTACATTGTTCTGAGGTCCATAAAGGGCAACCATGAGTGAATGCAGGACAGCTACTATCCAGTTCACAAACCCAGGGATAAACCCCTTTTTCCATGAGTGCAGAAAGCAAAATATCATATCTGACTCTATTGTAGGCATCCTCAAGATCATGTTCTTCCACAACTGTCTCCTGTCTGTTCTGGTTCCCTTCATAAATATCAAAATATCATATCTGACTCTATTGTAGGCATCCTCAAGATCAAGTTCTTCCACAACTGTCTCCTGTCTGTTCTGGTTCCCTTCATAGATATCAAAAGCAAAAGTAGCTGCATTAGACCATGTATCTTTCCGTGGCCGGTAACTACCCAAACCTTTTGGTAGCAGCTCTTCACATTCCAAAATCAATTGTAGTTTAACAGCAATAATCTTTTCTAGCACCTTGCCAAAAGTATTTCTGGGATGATCTTTGCCTGGTTTTGGAAGGGAGATCAGGGTGCTGTGTACCCAGTCCTGTGGTCCTGACGGTGTTCTGATGCTCTCGTTGAAGTGAAATGCATGTCCCTCAAGTCTTCATCACGCATGCTCGTCATGTGGGCAGATCTGACTACATCGGACCCCAGCGCATATCTGACTCCACCTGGCCCCAGCGCATACCTGACTCCACCGGGCCCCAGCGCATATCTGACTACACATGACCCCAGCGCATATCTGACTACACCTGACCCCAGCGCATATCTGACTCCACCTGACCCCAGCGCATATCTGACTCCACCTGGCCCCAGCGCATATCTGACTCCACCTGGCCCCAGCGCATATCTGACTCCACCGGGCCCCAGCGCAGTGTCTTTTTTTTTTGTTTTTGCAATACATATTTTATATCCTCCACCCTAATGATATCCTTAATATAATTATCATTTATGGTATTAGATTATCTCTAACTGAATTTCTAAGCCCCCTATGATTATTATCAGTTTGGGTTATTAATCTCTTGTTTGTTTGTTTGCTTGTTTTAGTATCCAGAAGCTATGAGTTGTTAACCTCTAGGCTCGGAATTAGGGATATCGCAACCTTTCGGCCTTGATTCCATTGTAAATACCGTAAATCAAAGAGAAAATGTGGCTTTCCTGCCTACCCCAGGGATTGAACCCGGACCACAGGGAGTTCGTCACCCGGTCTCCGCGCAATCCGGTTTAGCAAACTACGCTAGAGAGCCGGGCAATTAATCTCTTCAAAAATGCTCCCGTTTCTCTCTGTCAGTTGTCATTGGTATACCATTATCAGTGTCTTTAAGCTCTGTTGTGATAGGCCGATCCTTCCTTCGCATCAGAGCAGTTTCCAAAACCTACCCAGTGGTTTAACGGCAAGTTGTAACAGAGGGCCAAGCTTTCAAACAACATGAGCACTGAAGTACAGGGGCTACATAGCTCTCTAGCGTCTGCTGTCGTTTGTTGAAGAAAACGAGACTTGGTAAACAATCTGCTTTGCTTGACTTCTGGCGCTCGACTGTCACGATTCTGAGGTGAGGAATCTCACTGTGCAGCTGCTCTTGAATGTCAATGTATTTAAGCTTGGGGTCAATGTGCTGTATCACCAAGCGCCTAACACTGTTATAGATGCTGGTTACGGCCGTGACCCTGTGCGGGAGATGTAGCTCTGGGACAGTTTTTTTTTGGGGGGAGGCTCACCAGAGTTGTCGTTTTTGAGGTCTCGAACAGGGTGCCAATCACACCGTCCTTTTTCTTCCTCAGCATTGCAATCCCTTGAGGTTTATTGCTACAGATGTCACTCGCCTCTCTTCATTTCTCGGGTTGGCCTTCTTTTCTGCGTCGTGGTTTACGACCATGCATCTCTCTGGTGTATAGTTTTTACTTCTCTGTCATCTGGCATTCTTTCAATATTCCCCAACCATTTCGGTCTATTAGCTCTTATGATGCCAGTGATCAGTGGTGATTTAAACAGATTATAAATTTCATTATTGCTTCTCAATCTCCATTCCCCGCTGTTTGCATCTTTGATGGTTGTCTTAAGATTCTGTTTTCGAAAACCTGTAATGAGGCTTCATCTCTTTTAGCTGTGCTCCAAGTTTCAGAGCCATATAAAACGACTTGTCTTATCAATGTTTTATAAATTTTGATCTTCGTGTAGCGAGGCAGACACTTTGACTTTAGCAGATGTTGAAGGGCATAGTATACTTCATTTCCAAATGGTATTCTTGATTGTATTTCTTCTCTCAGCATGTTGGAGCTGTTGAAGTTTGCACCTAAGTACTTAAATGCTTCCGTTCGTTTGATTTTCATATTATCGCCTTGTATATGGCCGGAATTTATATTCTTTCTCTGTCTAGTTATTATCATGTATTCTATCCTATCTTGATTGATAACTAGTCCCATTAACTGAGCTGATTATTTTAAGAGTCAGTGTTTTAGCAGTTTCTAGTTATTTTTCTCCAACAATATCTGTGTCATCAGCATAACCAAGTATTCTTGTAGAATCTCCTCTGGTTTCAATTTCCTTTTAGTTGTCTCCAGGGCCAAGTTGAAAAGAAGTGGACACAGAGCATCACCTTGTTTTAAACCAGATGTTATTTGAAAAGGGTCTGACTTTCTGCCTTTGTATATTACTATATTATAAGTGTCTTCCATACATAGTTTGGTTATTACAATTAACTTCGTTGGTATTTCAAAGTCCTTCATAGCATTCCATAAACTATTTCGGTATACACTATCATACGGCTTTAATCCACAAAAAACTTTATGTACATCTCTTCTATATTCCCAATTTGGCTCTGCTATTTGCCGTAAAACAAATATCTGATCTATAGTTGATCTGTTCTGTCGGAAGCCCGCTTGGTAATCTCCTAATATGTCTTCGACGTATGATTTTTGCCTGTTTAGCAAAACAGCGTCCTTCACCTTTCTGAAATAGGAAATTGTTATCTTACTTTCTTACTATCTTACTTTCTTGGTTTATGGCATTTTCGCAGGTAATCGAGAAAATAATAGGTCTCTGAAAGGAAAAAGAGCTCTTAAAAGAACATCACAAGATATCACACCAGCAATATACAAGGCCACAGCTCGGATAACCAATCTAGATAGACCAAGCCGTATAAAACGTTGCGATCAATGGCAGGATGGACTATCAGTAATCGGGCTGCCGAATAATGCGTTAGCGAGCGAGGCTAGACGTGCTACGTACTTGGGTGCGTTCAGCGAGCGAGGCTAGACGTGCTACGTATTTGAATGCGTTCAGCCAGCGAGGCTAGACGTGCTACGTACTTGGATGCGTTCAGCGAGCGAGGCTAGACGTGCTACGTATTTGGATGCGTTCAGCGAGCGAGGCTAGACGTGCTACGTACTTGGATGCGTTCAGCGAGCGAGGCTAGACGTGCTACGTATTTGGATGCGTTCAGCGAGCGAGGCTAGACGTGCTACGTACTTGGATGCGTTCAGCGAGCGAGGCTAGACGTGCTACGTACTTGGATGCGTTCAGCGAGCGAGGCTAGACGTGCTACGTACTTGGGTGCGTTCAGCGAGCGAGGCTAGACGTGCTACGTACTTGGGTGCGTTCAGCGAGCGAGGCTAGACGTGCTACGTACTTGGGTGCGTTCAGCGAGCGAGGCTAGACGTGCTACGTACTTGGATGCGTTCAACGAGCGAGGCTAGACGTGCTACGTACTTGGGTGCGTTCAACGAGTGAGGCTAGACGTGCAACGTACTTGGATGCGTTCAGCGAGCGAGGCTAGACGTGCTACGTACTTGGGTGCGTTCAACGAGCAAGGCTAGACGTGCTACGTACTTGGGTGCGTTCAGCGAGCGAGGCTAGACGTGCTACGTACTTGGATGCGTTCAGCGAGCGAGGCTAGACGTGCTACGTACTTGGGTGCGTTCAGCGAGCGAGGCTAGACGTGCTACGTACTTGGGTGCGTTCAGCGAGCGAGGCTAGACGTGCTACGTACTTGGGTGCGTTCAGCGAGCGAGGCTAGACGTGCTACGTACTTGGGTGCATTGTGCTGGGAGGAAAAAACAGAGCTGCTAGTGTCCTGATCTGATATGTTGATTTGTTACTATAACCACAGTCAACGTAGGGCCCGAGAGGCCAGCCCTCCGCCCAATTCGGTTATATTGTAGTAACATTTCATTTGAATTTTGCATCAGGTTTTGAATTTGTGCTTTTTGTTTCCAGTTAAAACTTCCGGTAATTGTTGCCTGTATTTACTTCACTTGGGTTGTCTGGTCGTGATGGGTTGTCTGGTCGTGATGGGTTGTCTGTCCGTGTTGGGTTGTCTGTCCGTGTTGGGTTGTCTGTCCGTGTTGGGTTGTCTGGCCGTGATGGGTTGTCTGTCCGTGATGGGTTGTCTGTCCGTGTTGGGTTGTCTGGTCGTGTTGGGTAGTCTGTCCGTGTTGGGTTGTCTGTCCGTGTTGGGTTGTCTGGTCGTGTTGGGTTGTCTGTCCGTGTTGGGTTGTCTGTCCGTGATGAGTTGTCTGTCCGTGATGGGTTGTCTGTCCGTGTTGGGTTGTCTGTCCGTGTTGGGTTGTCTGTCCGTGTTGGGTTGTCTGTCCGTGTTGGGTTGTCTGGTCGTGTTGGGTTGTCTGTCCGTGTTGGGTTGTCTGGTCGTGTTGGGTTGTCTGTCCGTGATGGGTTGTCTGGTCGTGTTGGGTTGTCTGTCCGTGATGAGTTGTCTGTCCGTGATGGGTTGTCTGTCTGTGTTGGGTTATCTGTCCGTGTTGGGTTGTCTGTCCGTGTTGGGTTGTCTGTCCGTGTTGGGTTGTCTGGTCGTGTTGGGTTGTCTGTCCGTGATGAGTTGTCTGTCCGTGATGGGTTGTCTGTCCGTGTTGGGTTGTCTGTCCGTGTTGGGTTGTCTGTCTGTGTTGGGTTGTCTGTCCGTGTTGGGTTGTCTGGTCGTGTTGGGTTGTCTGTCCGTGTTGGGTTGTCTGGTCGTGTTGGGTTGTCTGGTCGTGTTGGGTTGTCTGTCTGTGTTGGGTTGTCTGTCTGTGTTGGGTTGGTTTGTCTGCAAAGTTGGTCCGCTTGAACTGTCGATGAGCTGCTGTCATATAGAGTGGGGTGGGTGGACAGCCCTTAAAGGGGCTATCAGCTGTGAACTTGCTTGGTCTGGGGGGGGGGGGGACATCCCTTAAAGGGGCTATCAGCTGTGAACTTGCTTAATCTGGGGTGTGTGGACAGCCCTTAAAGGGGCTATCAGCTGTGAACTTGCTTGGTCTGGGGTGGGGGGGGGGGGGACAGCCCTTAAAGGGGCTATCAGCTGTGAACTTGCTTGGTCTGGGGTGGGTTTCTTTTTTTTTTTTTTGCGAACGGGTATTCTCTGAATTTTTGCCACTTCAGGCGATGGGCTTTGTTTGCCAGCTGGACTTCAACTGCCGCGAGTTTTTCTGCTTCTTTGCGGTCCCTCTCTCTCTCCTCAAACATGTCTCTTGATAAGGTGAATTCCTGCTGCAGCTTTTCATTGGCCTCCCTGAGTTGTGTCACCTCGTCTGGGATCTGAACCTGGGTTACTTTGATTTCTTCGATGCTGGTCGCCTCTTCTTCGTCTGATGTGCTTGTGTCTTTGGTGGAGTTTTCAGTTGTCTGTCTCTGGTGGAGTTTTCAGTTGTCTGTCTCTTGCGAGTCTGGATTTCAGTCAGCATTGCTATCATGTCAGATTTGAATTGAGACATTTCATCTATTTTAGCTTCCATGCGTTTCTGGGTCTAAAGTAATTATTTTCTTGAGACTTCTTAGTACTGTCATTTCATTTCTTTCCTGGGTTCGATTGGTTTTGGTTGTTGCCTTTTCATTCTTTAGTGAAAAAAAATTTTTTTTTTAAAGTAACTTAGTCTGGTTTGGAGTTTTGTCATTACTGCTTCAGCGACGCGTTTGGGTGCCTCAATTCTCCTGCGGGCTTCTTGGTAGGGGATGTTTTCCCTGACAGCAGTGTTTGTGATGTCTCTGCATTGCTGGAGATAAGGGCATCTTAGATATCTGGTCCCGTGCTGGCTAGAACAGTTAGCACCTTGCCTGTTTGTATCGGTTTTCCTGAAGTATGTGTCTAGTCTCGCCAGGGGGTAGTCGCTGAAGGGGTGGAGCTTCGAGCAGTAACGGCAAAATGTCATGCATGCTTGCGCAAGAAGCTCTGGCTTTCTGACACCATGCTTGCGGTATATACTGCTCGGGACTCTGCATCCTTTGGTTCACGAAGACTGTATCAGGAATGTCCTCGTCCTCTGATGTGATGACTGCGGCTGGTGAAGGGTTGTGCTTCGAGCCGACCTTCTTTGTTTTGGTGAATCAGATTTGTGGATAGTCTTTCCTTAGCTGCTCAAGTATTTCCTCCAACTTTTATAGAAACACACCACAAGTTAAAAACAAGACCAGACTGTCACCTCTTTCACTGGTAGAAACACCATAAACGCACGTTAAGAGTGTGTTCACACTTTAGAAATGAAATATGTATCGCGAACATTATTCATTATCTCTCATCATTTCAATAGCTATACAAACTAGAAACAGCGAAGGTGTCTTTCAAGTCGAGCGACTGTCTAACACCAGATAGTAGTTATCAGCGACCGATGATAAAATAAATCACGTGCTGATATAATTAATGTTAAGAACATTTAGCCACAATGAGATTATTGCTTCATCATGTACTTTCATGTGGATACCAACTGGCGCGGATGGTACAGTTTGTGAGCCATAATTGTATGTATATGTATATTGTATGTATTCACACCACTTTATGCAACTATTACTTGAGATATAATTTTGTGTGTGGTATCACAGATTAATATATCTCTAATAATATACGATTATATTCTCTTTTCTGATACACACATTTGACATGTTATATTATGTTGTGTTTTCACAAATGAACTACTGGACGTATATTTGCCAAGAGAAACCTTACAACAGCCAGGGGCTGCTGGGGTTGGTTCTGCAACGTCCTGTAAAGTATACGCAACTAACCTTTTTCACAAAAGACCTTACTGCTCATTGCGCATTCCCATGCCTGCTCATTCCTCTAATGCAGCAGCCACTCCTAGTTTTTCCTATTGATTTTTCCCATGTAAAGTTAGTGATATTGTTTTCTATTCGGACGTCGAAGACTGCACCGGCATGCTTTACCATGCTTTACTCCCAGATCATGCAGTTGTGTTAGTGTCAGAGTCTGATACGATTACTGCACCTGTGACTGCTTCTTTTGCTGCCCAAGTGAGGGCTAAAGAGGCAATGGTTAATTCCAAGGTTATGCTTGGCGTAGTTACCTGGAATAAATTGATGAATGAATAAATGAATGAATGAATGAATGAATGAATGAATGAATGAATGAATGAATGAATGAATGAATGAATGAATGAATGAATGAATGAACGAATGAACGAATGAACGAATGAATGAATGAATGAATGAATGAATGAATGAATGAATGAACGAATGAATGAATGAACGAATGAAGGAATGAGTCAAGAGCTGATATCACTGTAATCGGGACATTTCCACATGTGCTCCGCCCTCTTCCTCGGTAGCCAACGAAGAATAGACATGCTAACGGTGTCAGTTGCAGTCTAATTAAAAGTTGAATTAGTCTTTCAGTGTATGGATTATCTGTCTCTTTTAGTGCTCTCTCCGTCTGATCCCATAGAGCTTTCACAACATCTGCTTTATCATAAAGTAACTCACCACCCAGAGAAGCGACAGCATCTAATATATCAGCCTGCTTCGTTACCTCGTACACCTGAATAGCTTGGACAGAGAATCCATGATATATTTACCTAGTAAGCGCCCAGATCACCCCCCCCCTCCTCCCAACATCTTTTGTCCTACTGTATGTGTCCATGGTGACCTTGACCCGCGCTTCATGGGTGGACATACACACGGCAGGCCAATGAAAAGACAGTAACAGAAGAAAGTTCAACTATTTCTAGCCTGACGATGGAGATCACAGCTGTCACAGGAGCACCTGCCTGTCTGGTAGAAAAGAAAACAGCTCATGCATTGATAGTGATAGACTCAATGAGAATGGTTAAGAAACTCCAAACATGCAAACTCCGACTCAATGGGGTTGACAGCATCCAGAGGTCCCGCAATAGAAAACATCTTAGCTGTACACACCAGGAGGCGCTGAATTGAAAGGAGATGAAAGAGCTGACAGACTGGCAGGCTGCAGTAGTTCGTGGAGGAAGAAGGCTGGACAGGGCAGAGATAGTGAATGCGCTGAGTTCTAAATGCTCTAAGAAACAGGAGTCAGAGACAAAGATCAACCTTCTGGAAATGGGCACTAAATGAGCACAGCATGTAGACATCGTTTGTGGGGTAAAGAAACAAGATAGGACCGTCAACTCCTACTTAGTACGTTGAGTATGGCGAGAATGAGATGGCTGCTGCATCGGTGGACGGACCATGAATGGGTCGGATTGATGTGCTTGGATGTCGATACGGCCAACAAGCAACAAGTATTTGTAAAGAAGATGATGTCTTCTGGGCATAAATACTTTTCTCTCAGTGCACTGATCTGACTGTCTAGGCGACGGCGACAATCTTATTGCTGTCTCTCAGTGCACTGATCTGACTGTCTAGGCGACGGCGACAATCTTATTGCTGTCTCTCAGTGCACTGATCTGACTGTCTAGGCGACGACGGCAATCTTATTGCTGTCTCTCAGTGCACTGATCTGACTGTCTAGGCGGCGACAATCTTATTGCTGTCTCTCAGTGCACTGATCTGACTGTCTAGGCGACGGCGACAATCTTATTGCTGCCTCTCAGTGCACTGATCTGACTGTCTAGGCGGCGACAATCTTATTGCTGTCTCTCAGTGCACTGATCTGACTGTCTAGGCGACGGCGACAATCTTATTGCTGTCTCTCAGTGCACTGATCTGACTGTCTAGGCGACGGCGACAATCTTATTGCTGTCTCTCAGTGCACTGATCTGACTGTCTAGGCGACGGCGACAATCTTATGCTGTCTCTCAGTGCAACTGATCTGACTGTCTTAGGCTACGGTGACGACAATTGCTGCAGTAACTCCCCGGGGGGAAAAAAAGGGGGGGGGGGGTGATTACTTTAGGACAGTCGTGCATGAACACTGGAGTATCCCTTCATGCATTTCCAGGCCTGAGCAGTTCAAGGTTATCTAACTGCTGGGTTGCATTTTCTGCTCAGCCATCCAGCAGCTGCCTCTTGAGAGACGAACTTCTTTTATTCATCGATAAAGTTGTACGGTACAGTCAACTTCTGCCGACACCTTTACGTTCCCCTCGATGTGGGCAACTTTCTGTCTGTTGCCATATTCTGTGAGCCCAGGACACATCGCATAGCGTGATAAAAGGCGTGTTGTTTGTGTGTGTGCGCGCGCATGTGTGCGTGCGTGGTGTGTGTGGGTGTGTGAAGCCCTGTATGAGTCTCATAGCATTTTTTAATTCTCGGCCCAGTCTTTCTAGCTGGACTGCCATGAGAGTAGGAAGCCCAGTGTTTCTAGCTGGACTGCCATGAGAGTAGGAAGCCCAGTCTTTCTAGCTGGACTGCCATGAGAGTAGGAAGCCTAGTGTTTCTAGCTGGACTGCCATGAGAGTAGGAAGCCTAGTGTTTCTAGCTGGGACTGGCATGAGAGTAGGAAGCCTAGTGTTTCTAGCTGGACTGCCATGAGCTGGAAGCCTAGTGTTTCTAGCTGGACTGCCATGAGAGTAGGAAGCCCAGTGTTTCTAGCTGGA